GAGAGAGAGAGAGAGAGAGAGAGAGAGAGAGAGAGAGAGAGAGAGAGAGAGAGAGAGATTGAAGACGAGATCCTGTGTTTAGATCTAGCTGAAGAGAAAGAATGAAAGAAATCACGGAGGGAGGGAGGAGGGTTGGAGGAGATCTGTTGAATGGATGAAGAAGGGAGAGGGGAGGTTAGACGGAGGGATGAAGTAGGCAGAAAGGGGAAGTGAAGGAGGAAGTGGGATGGAGGGACAAAGAAGGGACTGAGGTTGGGCAGTTGGAAGAATTATGCACAAAGGAGGGAAGGAAGAGGTCAGGGAATGGGGTACGGAGGAAGGAGGGAGGAGGACGTTGTGAGGGCGTAAGGGGGCCAGCAGAGGAAGGGAGTGGGAGTTCGGGGAGAGGTCCGCCGGAGGAAGGGGAGAGAGGAGGCGATGGATCGAGGCAGTCAGGAGGTCGTGCTGAGGAATAGCGGAGGAGATCGGGCAGAGAGAGCGAGGAGGAGATCGGGGCTATAGAGGGAGGAGGAAGGGAGGAGGACGTCTGGCGAAGGGAAGGAGCATGACGCCGGGCAGAGGAGAGGGTGGAGGAAGTCGGGCAGGGAGTGAGGAAGCCGGGTGGACATTGGGCGGCGGCAAGGAATAGATTGGGCTGAGGAAGGGTGGAGGAGGTTGGGCTGTCAGAGGAAAGAGGTTGGGTGGCGGCCGAGCAGGGGGAGCGCAGAGGGAGAAGCGCCTCTTCATCTGGGCCGTTGGGCCTGGAGTGCCGGGCCAACAGCTCAGATCCACGTGTAATCTTAAAGTGTTAAGACCGCACAACAATCTGAGCCATTCGGCCGGTAAGGCCCGACGGCCCAGATTCAAGATTTGTAACATTAGGGCAACAAAATCCAGCTCGTTGGCCTGGCAGGACCCGACGACGACCCACACTCAAGATTTTTTACGTTGATGTTGATGGAGTAATCTGCACCGTTGGTCCTGTACGGGTAGGGGATTTTGACACTCGAAGCATTTCCACGTACTTTGTTGGTGTGCTCGTAACTTCATGTTGGTGTGTGACTCCCCAGATAAGATACTAATCAATAGTGTAGGGATTTTAACAGTGTCACTGTATCCAAACGTGTCCATCTGCTGTGTTCGTGTTTGTGTTGGATTGTGACTCCGTTGGTTTGGGCAGGCCGGCCACAGAACAGAACAGCACGGCTAGCCAAAAAAAGAAAAAAGGGCAGTTTTGACCCGGGCGAAATTCCAAGCAGCTGGCCACGCTGAGCAACCCAGAGTCATTAGCATCAGCTTCACCCACCCCCGGCTCCCCAAACTCTTGTTAGCCGGCTTCGGGATTTACCAGTTTAGGGTCCTAATCCGTGGTTTGGAAGTGATTTGCAATATGAATTTAGAACTGTGTTAGTCCCCGGGCGGCCCGGATGGGGGAAGATCGCCCGGGTACCCTCCCGGACGGTCCGGACCGGGCAGGGACCGGGCGGGGTCCCAGGCGATCCCAGCGCATAATATTAAAAAAAAATAGAAAATAAAGAAAATTTAAAGAAATCCGAAAAAGAAATATGTTTTTTTATAAAATAATTAAAATTGCAATACAAACGACTTTTGGCTGAGGGCCAGCTCGAAATCCCTTGTTAAATTTAAGAAAAACATAAATGAGAAAACATGACTCCAAATGTACCCTTTTAACCCCTTTAGTCACTGTTTATACCCCCCAGAGAAGGTGATAGCCCTGTATATTTTGTGAATTTTTGTCCAATGGTTGTGCTTCACGCCTTTGAAATCGTGCCTGGCTGCGTGCGTTTAGACTCTAGAGATTTTTTACCACAAAGGTGATGGCCTCCAAACGTTCGATTTCATGGTCGCATCTGCAAACGAGTATTTGGAACCCAGATACTTTTGTTGTTCTTTTTTTGGGTTCCCCAACCCCCCTGGATGACCCATGACCAAAACCCAAGTGAAGACTGGATTCTAACTGCTTAGGCCAAGCGCAGTCCTGGCCTGCAGTCGTTTTTTTTTGGGTTCCTTGCCTCTTTCTTGACCCGTCTGGTTTTCCGGGCAACCCCCCTTCTGTCCAACTGTCCGGGCGTGCTCGGCTGGGCGACGGCCCACCATAGATTTAGAGTGAATCTAATGAATGCAAAAGGAGTTCCTCAACAAAGCTTTCAAGAAAAGTGTAAGGGTCAAAGATGACAAGCTTACCCCATATAAATTCCTCTGCAAGCACCAGAAGGGCTTCTGCCTTCTCCAGAACACCCTTTGATCCATCTGCCTCCTTCATCTTCACCAACGCGTCGGCCTGCAAACAGAGGAAACCAATGACAAAAACACGATTACAGAAAGCCTCTATATCTCCAATGTTGTATGATAGCCAGGTATAGAGTGGCCAGATCAGCTGCATGTGTGTACTATTCAAAATCGTCTAGAGTTCGATGATTTGGGTGCAGATACGATATGGGTTGTATTACAGGAATAGATC